TTTCTTGTTGACAAGTTCTTACTTTGCTCGGTATTCCACGGTACATAGTTGCGAATTCGGAAGGATCTCGGAGGAAATCTCTCGGCCGGTCTGATCGTAATATCAACGTGCAAGGTAGTGACAACTTGATGGCTGAGCAGCTTTTCCTCCATCACAAAAAGGTCCCAGAACATAACTTCATATCCTTTGATATTTTCAGTTTGGGTCTAACTACTTTTAACTAGTAAAGCTCGCAACATTTTTTGAGACAGAACAGACAGACAGAGCTTTAATTTTTAGTTGTGTTACCTTGCTGTGCCGGTGTCGAGTGTAAAAAGATTGTGACCAATAAGTTGCTAGCAAAAACACACGTAGTCGGGTTAACGCTACCATTTGATCAACAGTTGGATAAAATCTGTGCTCCGATATGCTGTCTTTCGGAGTGGGCATATTGCGATTTTTCTGGTCAGAGACGTCCATTGTTTGCAAAGGTTGCGCTAGGCGTTATTGTATTATGGTCGCAACCTATTGCAACTATAAGTACTTTTTACAAAGAGGCGTGTGTGGCAAAGGTTCGAAATGAAGGAACAACAGATTGAACAAAACGATGATGGTGATCTAACCTATCGGTAGAATCGCACCCGCCCCCCCCCCCCTTCTGTACCATCGTCGTCAACGTTATAGTTGAAGTAGAGAGGCTTCTCCGATAACAAAGATTATCATGAGCAGGCGTTGAGTGAGTAATAATGGTACATTTGACAAAATACGACCATCCCACGCAAATGTGATTCAATATTGCGTAACGTGATTTCATGAAGGAGGGTGAGCGCTTAGTCGGAGACTTTTTCTGATCGTAATACCGATCACATACGAGGTCCACAAAGCATTCATTCCGGATTGCATCCGTCGGCTGAAACTCTAAAACCTAACCGAATAGTAATGCATCGTAATTTATTATCACTCATATGCAACTTCACACATCTCGATAACATAATCCTTAACTGATTTCTTGGTCTACATCTTCATTTTTCTTGTAGAGATTATTTAGCACACTTATTTTTATAGTTTACTTCTTTTTATTGACGATCGACTTCTCGAAGACTTCCTTCCTTCCTACCTCACTTAATTTTCGACCGCTGATCGTCCCGGGCATGCCAGAAACATCTTCCAAGCCGCTCTGCTTCGGGCTCTTCTGCGCTACAGCTGGCCGTACAACTTTACGAGAGGGTCTGCCCATCGGGTGGGCGGTCTGCCTCTGGGCTTGTTTTCCCCCTTAGATACCAGTCACCTTTCGGTCCAGCGATCATCGGTGTTCTTGGATTCTCTGGATCTCCCTCTAGTATACTTAAAATTTGGCAAACCTACACTCGGTTGTGGGTGCATCAAGTCCTTCGATTGAAGATGATCCGATCACTAACTGTGAATCACTTTTGATTTTCTCGTTGCGAACCTGCATATGCTTTAGCCTGACTTGGGCTTTAACAACCACTGTATAATTCTATGACCTCACCTAACTGGGGGTTACACGTCTGCCCTTGGCAGTAGGCCATCAGTTTGTCACTTTTATCGCGCATTGTACATACCTTGTCTGTTGTTTCTTTAGCATTGTACCTAACCAAGCGCATCACAAAGCACGTGTAGACAAATTGGATTTCAGAATGACGGATGGCAATCGCGTGAAAAACCGAAGTATAGAACGAAAATGGTCAAGACGTGTAAAAATTACAAACATTCACGCTAATTTTCGAAATTCAACAACTTTTCTACTGTATCACCTGTATCACCTGTCGTCCCGTTGATCGTCGATTTGCTCGAGCGGGCGCCACAACGTCTCCATTCGTCCCTGTCGCGTGCTAGTGTGGTCCAGTGGATCCTCCTTGCTCGAGGGACACGAAGTCCATCATTCCTTTCGTTCAGAGCTTTCGTGAAGAAGTCTGACCATCGGGCCGGCGGTCGTCCAGGTGTTCGTTTGACGTCCCGAGGGATCCAGTCGGTAACCGCTCTGGTCCAACGGTCATCGCAAAATCGCATGACGTGTCCGGCCCACCTTATCTTCGATTCCTTGGCGAAAACGGCAGCGTCCCTGATCTTCGATCGTTGGCGTAGTTCCGAACTCCGGATTCCCCTCTGCACTTGCGTGTATAGGGTTACTCCTAGCATCGTCCTCTCGACAGCGCGTTGGATAACGCTGACCGCATGCTCGTCCTGCCTGCGCAGAGTCCAAGTCTCTGAGGCGTAGGTTAGGGCAGGAAGGACAGCGGAATCGATGAGGTGGGCACGGAGCCGGATGTTCTTCGTCATCTTCACTACTCCCTCCAGTTCTTGAATGCTCCCCATGCCGCTCGTTTCCTCCTGCTCAGCTCTGGAGCTAGGTCGTTCATCATATTGATTTCCCGACCTAGATACGCGTAGCTTGAGCATTCGGCGATGTTCGTTAAGTTGAGCATGAATGGGGCATGAGGTACCAATCCGTTTCTCATTAACGTCGTTTTCGTTAGGTTCGGCTGCAGACCAGCCTTACCACAGGCGCAGTCGAAATCAGCCAGCGTTGGCTCCGCTTGTTCGAGGTTCAGCGCTATAAGAACGATGTCGTCAGCAAAACGACGGTGGTGTAGTTGCCGGCCGTCGATCTTCACTCCCATGTCTTCCCATTCCAATTGACGCATGACGTTCTCGAGAGCGGCGCTGAAGAGTTTGGCCGAGATGGTGTCGCCCTGTCGAACCCCTCTTGACGTCAATGATGACCTTGTAGAATGGTGAGATCCTGGTTGTAAAATTGCTGTAGAGCTCACGAAGAATCATTATGAACTGAGTAGGGACGCCCTGGTTGCCCAAGGCTTCGATGACCGCTTCTGTCCACAGAGTCATAGGCCTTCTTCAAGTTGATGAACGTGAGACAAAGCGGCATCTTGTACTCCCGTGAAACTTCAATGAGTCTCGTAACCGTGTGGATATGGTCGATCGTGCTGAACCCTCTTCGGAATTGCTCGCATGGCTGTCCTTCATCTAGTATTCTGCGGACCTGCTGAGGATGACTTGAGTGAATAGCTTGTAGATTACAGACAGCAGGCAGACTGGACGATAGTTGCCAATGTCGTCCAAGTCTCCCTTCTTGTACAGCAAC